CGGTCAGGTTTGGGCGGTTTTTGTGACCCAACCCGTGACCCGACCCGCCTGATCACAAAAAAACCCAACCCAATCAAAAAAATAAAAAAAAACCGACCCAAACCGGTCAGTTTGGGTCGGTTCGGGCGGTTCAAGCGGGTTGGGCGGGTTTTTGCCCACCCCTATCTGCAATTGCACACAAATTTTGCTTTAATTAAAGACAATAACAGAATGAACAGCTCGGCAAACACTAACAGATGCCGCAATAAAGCATGAGAATTATAGATTAAAATAGGTTCAATCTGCTACAAATATTTAAAGTACTCAAATTTCCATGAACAATAACTAGAGCATCATGAGCATTCAAAACACTATAAATCCGTCTAGATGTTGAATAGAAATGATAGCTCCAACATCCTTCCCGAGAAGTTACTAATGACCGTACTTCTGAAATTCCCACTCGCTGTTATCTGTACAAGAGTAACAAAATAGTAATATAGTATATGATATTGTAAAAAGGGGTGACTATAATAGAGAAAATGGAAAACTGTATAACAACTTACCCAGAGGGCAAACTTGACGAGTCTTCAACCATCGACTAATGCAATGGAAGTGAAATGCATGATTGCAAACACCTAAAAATTAAGGCATCAAAAAACTTGTCTCAATCAAAGAGAAAATGAACGAAATAGACCACCATTTGCCAAATTATTACTTTCAAAATTTATTTGTAGTAGTAATAAATTGCCATTAAAGCTAATGTGCCTCATAAAATGCACTAATAATTGGAAAGCCACATAAAAATGTACCAAGGCATCACTCAAGAATCCAATTGAACAAAGCTGATAATCTAAAAGTTTGCTTCAAACTTGAGGCCTCGTTGTCTAGTTCAACAGTGATTCCGAACAACAAAATCTTCACAGCAAAGATGGTTACACTCCACAGACTAAGATGTAAGAGAAAAAGTATACTACACGGAAATGACGAAAATTCATCCCCGGTTAAGGCAACTCATATCGTGATTACGAAGTATACAAAAGATGTGATATATGACTATACCAACAATGACTGTCATCAGTTCTAGACAAGATCCAAGTACTATCTTTCAAATCTATAAACCATACAATAATGCAGTGTTATAAAGCATACATCTTATGAAGAACAGAAAATGCATTCTTGACCTGATGCCCCCAATTCATACATTAAATTTGCAATTGTTTCTTGCCTATCTATCATGGTCATGTAGAAGTGATATGGCAGGCCCAATTAGTTCCTAAACCTAAGAACTACTAATACAATAATGCTTATTATTCGTGCTAAACCAACAAGGCAAACAAAGTAATCAATCGATAAAAACACCCATTCTACTTGGGGGTATTTTTTTCTCTCTGTCCATTGACGGGACGATGCAGTTGCTCCATACAATGTAGGCTAAGCAATCAAAAACACAAAAGACATGGTGAGAGACAGTATTAAATTTTTCTATCTGCTGGACTCCAAAAATTAGTTAAATCTCACTCCAATTAGTACTAGCGCCACAACTCCAAAAATGACATGATAAAACATGACTGATTTTTTGGTACTTCGTCAAATAGGGGAAATCCCCATTTTTTGCCTATTCGAATTTCAGTTTTCGTCAACCTTTTTCCCCCCTCTTTGTGGCTAAAGAAATGTTGATTAAGTCCACCATGAGTTATAAGCAGTGTGCAGGTACATATTAAATGGAATTTGAATATTGTTAGTTGGGCAGGTGACTGCATCATGATAATTTAGTGATGCCATGCAAGTATGGGTTAGATTGTTAGAATACTCTGATTTTTAGTCAAAGAAATGTTCAACTCACTAAAAGAATGAAATTGATATGCGGACTCCCCAACATTTACTCATTCATGAAAGAAGTAAAACTTAATAAAAAAAGATAAACAAATAATAATTAATTGTTCTAATATGAGTATGCCAAATGTAGAGTATCAGTGCATGCAATGTATTAGTAGATAATGTATGATGCACAATGCTGAGAATCATGCAAGAACTAACATTACTGTATTGATTCCATTAAAAAGAAGAGAACTCTAACATGTCATATAGGGTCTACAAAAATTCTGGGACACTAAACTGCCAGAGGATCCACTACTACAGTCAGAAGGAAGCAAAACAAATACCCGATGAGTTATTCTTTAAATTCTTATGAGGTTGTTCCAGTTTAGCATCCAAAGGCCATATATAATAAACAACAACAGAAATAACAGTTCACAAAAAGGCCAACAAAAATTCTGAAAATGTGAAATTACAAATCCAGTAATTCAACTAAGAAAATCCCTATCACAGTAAAATCTACAGGCATACAATAACAGATTAATGTAAAAAAAGAAAATAAAAAAAATCAGGGTTTCAGTGAAGCTAGATACCCCAAGCAACAGTGCACTCCTCGCTCGTAGCACTAGCTTGATTAGCCTGACATTCGATACCTGATTACACCGATAAAAGAGTTAATTAAATAAGTTTAATCACCAAAAGGAAAGGCAAATTGAAAGTTAAAAACTCACAGAGATCCATAATGTGGTTCCTGCAAATTGCACAATTATCCACCACAATATCTGCATCATGAATTAGGATTAGAGTTTCTCCAAAACCTAAAATCGGAATATAATTTCTTATATACATAAAAACATGGTGTGCGTGTGGTTAGTTTAGGGTTTATACCCCAAGCCCAGAGCGCAACGGCATTCCATTTTTTGATCTCGAATCGCTTGGCTTTCTTGGCTGATGACGGCGGAGCAGGATTACCGGACGAAGGCCCGGCGCCGGAGGATCCCTCGCCAGCGGGAACCATAGTGACGTCGCTGTCTAGAGAAGCCATCGTCTCAGAGCAAAGATGCTTCGGTAGGGGTTTTCCGAAATGCGATTTATTACTGCTCTGCAGTGGCGAGAACAACTTTTGCGAAAGAACAACAGCGGGATCCTATTTAGGGTGAATATGGAGAAATTATTCAAAACACCCCCAAATTCAACCATACCCATTCCAAAATATCCTTTTACTATTTTAAAAATTTAAA